AATAAATGAGAAATTCAGATTTAACTGGTTTATTTTAATGCTGTAAAGCCGTGCCTTTGCTGCACCTCGCTCCGTTCCGCTGCGCTTCTTTTCCCCGGTGTGATTGTCCCTGGCTTGTCAGAGGTCGTGCTGCTCCAGCAGGAACGCAGCCCCTTTGGGGAGGGCAAGAAAAGGGGAAAAATGCAGGAAAAAGGCAGCTTTGCCGTGCCCCATCCAGGCACCTCGGGAGCGTGCTTTCGTGTTCCCTGGGTTTGCTGCAGCCGAGCAGCTCGGCCCCGGGTCCGGCACCTGGCACGGGTTCGTGCCTCGGGACTTGGAAAAAAGCAACCGCGAGAATTCCCCTTGGGATGGGGATGGGGACGGGGATGGGGATGAGATGGGAATGGGGATGGGATGGGATGGGGATGGGGTGTGGAAGGGGATGGGGTTGGGGATGGGGATGGGGATGGGGATGGAGATGGGATGGGATGGGATGCGATGGGATGGGATGGGATGGGGATGGGGATGGAGATGGGGATGGGGATGGGGATGGGGGGAGGGAGGGATGGAGGGATGGATGGATGGATGGATGGGGAGGGTTCTCCAACCTTCCTGGGATCTGCGGGGCTGTGGAGATCATAGAACCATAGAGTGGTTTGGGTTGGAAGGGACCTTAAAGCTCATCTGGTTCCAACCCTCCTGCCATGAGCAGGGACATCTTCCCCCAGCCCAGGGTGCTCAGAGCTCCATCCAACCTGGCCTTGAGCACTGCCAGGGAGGGTCCCAGGTCTCGCCGGGTGCAGGGGAGATTTGGGGTCATGACTCTGGGCAGGCAAACGGAGGGGTGCTGGGACCCTCATTTTAAAACCAGCAGAGCTGTCCCTGCCATCGCAGGGCAGGAACGGGCAGGGAGAGGGATGGGACGAGAGCCCTTTGCCCCTACGGCCGCTGGCTCCTTCCCAGTGCCACCAGCAGCGAGGCCGAGCCCTCCCCCACGGCTCTTCGCCGTCTTTCTGGACACGCTGGAGGTGTTTGCAAAGCTCTGGGCGCTCGGTGTTCAGCCGAAAGCCTTTGCGTGAAACGTAAGAGCCCAGGTCGGGATTTCTCACAGGCTGTTGGCGATATTTTCTCGTTTGATTTCTGGCTTGTGGTGTAAGCTGGTACAAAAAACCATATTATGTGTTTAAAGGCAGCCTTGTAATCAGATTGCTGCGAGATAACAACGTGTAAAGAGTTTAATCCCGCTTCGCTGCGGCCAGCCGAGGTAACGATGTGCGTTGGGCCTGAGGAAGCGCGCGGGGAGGGTGATGCGGCAGCGCGTACGGCAATCCTGCTTCTCCGTTTGCAGCCTGGAGGTGAACGAAATGATCGTCCCTTGGCGTGACGGAAGAGCTGGCCGGGGGCCAGGCCTGAAATTCCCTGTGGAAAGAAGAGCTGTCAATGGAAAGGTGGAGTTCGGAGCAAAGGCGACATAAACAGCGAGCCAAGCCCTGCAAAATGGAGAAGGGCTCTGCTCCTCGGCCGGGAGGAGCCGGCTCTGGCATGGAGATCGAGCTGGAGGAAGAAGAGGAAGGTTATCCCGTGGCTGGAGATGGGTTTGGGGCTGTGCTTGGCCACAGACCCGTGCCTGGCTGTGCGTGCTGGGATGCAGCCAGCGCTTTGCCCTTCCGGGGGGTCTGGCAGCAGCGTGCCCTGGGTGCCAAGAAGGCCAATGGTCTCCTGGGATGCATCACGAGGAGTGTGGGCAGCAGGGCGAGGGAGGTTCTCCTCCCCCTCTGCTCTGCCCTGGGGAGGCCCCATCTGCAGTGCTGTGTCCAGTGCTGGGCTCCCCAGTTCAAGAAAGATGAGGAGCTACTGGAGAGAGTCCAGCGGAGGGCTAC